TGGTATTCCTTGACCTTTGGGAAGAATTTTGACATGTACATGGGTACCATAGAGGTGTAGTGGATCTTGTAGACCAGGCCCATTGCAAGTAGCTGTACTCTGTCGTCTACTCTAAGCCATCCTAGGTTGTCAAAGTGGGCAGAGGTGAGGTGGGTTCTAGATGAAAGGTCAAGCAGTAGTCTGACCAGTTTATTTTGCGATGTTTGAATTTTTATTTTTAGCGCCTTGGAGGTGCTATGGTACCATGACGTGCAATCATAGTCATAGTACCCTTGAATGAGTGCTCCTGCCAGGGTTTTCAGGGTGTTTTTGTTTACCAGAGAGGAGATCCGGTATCGGAATCTAGTTCTTTGATTGACTTGTTTTATTACATTGGATGCCATTTTGTCACAGGAGAGGTTTGCCTCAAGAATAGATCCTAGGTATGTAATTTCCTTCTTACTTGTGACAATAATGTCACTTCATACTGTTGAATTTCGTTACGGTTATTGAATACAATTATATAAAAAATAATCTCTGCATTGTTTAGTTAGTTCTAAGTGGTGCAGTTTGAGAATGTACAATTGGCCCAGTCTCTGATGTTACATCAGATGTGAGGACAGCGCGAGGACACAGACAGGGAGGCTGCTTCACTTCATAAAGGAAATGGCGGTCAATATTAACAACATAGGAGCTGAAACGCTTAATAACCTTCATTACGTGTTAGAGAAAGAACATAAGAAAGTTTGACAAAGATGAGACTGTTAAACGGGCAGCGGATCTGCTGTGTGTAGAAAGAGAGAAAGAGCTGCACCATGCAGCGATCAGCTGATACGGAGCATAGAGAGAGAGAGCTGCAGTCCGCACGGCTCGGCCTCGCCTCCTGTCCTCACAACTCTTATTAATCCCGGTACTGGGCAATTGTTATTTGTTTTTACTCGGAACCGAGTTTTGCTTCCCAACCCTGCCACTGTGCTACACGTCGTTCTTATTATACATCCATGGTCCCGCCCCGCCCCGCCCCCGTCTAACAGTACAGAAAGCGGCGAGATGCGTTTCCTTAGGAATCGACAAGCAGAACCGAAACTAACATTTCCAAACGAACAATGGCGGACACGGACAATTTGCGAATAACTTCTGCCTTTTGTAAACTGAATTTATCAATAATTTGTCAATAAATGAGGGCGAAAAACGTCACTTGTCCGCCGGACAAGTCAATTGAAAGATCTACTTGTCCGATATCGTAAATAACACGTCCCGGACGGTGGGACGTGTGCTTTTTCGCACACTGGTCTGGACATACCTGCACTTGAAGAGTTTGGTGAGAACCCCGCCGATGACATAACAGATGACCTCCTCAATCAGGCACGAGACCTCACCATCACTGTGTATACATCCAAAGCTGATCACTTTGAGGGTTCTGATCTGGGCAAACTGAGAGCATACAAGTTCCTGAACAACAACACTGCCACACTTGAGAGCAGTGACAGCCAGTAGCGTGGCGTGGGGAAAAAATTAGGGGAAGCCAATAACACGTCCTTTCTTTTGGGTCGGGGGTGTGGTGGTCAGTGCAATAACGTAACCAGATGAGTGATTACAGCACCCGGTATAATTTTACACACATTTGTATCATACAGATGCAGGATTTACACACGCCTGTTATCTAACCCAGGGGTTCCCAACCTTTATTGTGCCAAGGACCGGCAGATACATAACAAAAAATAATCGCGGACCGGTTGTCAATTTTAACTGATTTTAATATTTACTCACCAGCAGGTAGCAACAGAGGCTCATTGTATGTAACAGCCTGAACAAATACTAGAACATATTAACAACGTTTAAAAAAGAACCGGTGTCGTTTTTTGGTTTTTCGGAAAAACGGAAAACCAAAAAACCGACGTTATTCAGTTTTTAAACCAAAACGGGAAAACAGATAAATCAATGTTTTGGTTTTGTTTGTATGATTTACGGATAATCCAGTGATGGGAACACGAGGAGAAGGCGCATTATGAAGGTTGTGTGTGTGTGTCAGTGACACTGGCATTTGTTTTCAGAAGATATTATGATAGTGACGTTCGTTCCGGTGCACGTCCGACAGCATTTAGCACTACATCGAGATTAAGATTAAACTAATTTATTTTGGGAACACCCGCATATAGGCTACCTATGGAGTTAGCAGATGTGTGTAAATTACTGTTCATGGTCATTTGAAAAGAAATGCCGGTGTATGGAGTCAGATTTGGGTCAATATTCTCGCGCGTAAAACAAGCTACTCACGAGCGGAAAATGTGCTTTTACACGCGCATAAAATGACGCTCGCGCGCAGATTAAACCCCCGCGAGCGTGTCAGCCTCGCGGAGTCTGTCTACGCGCGCGTGAAAAGTTTCTGGCACTTTGGGGCGGAGCCACTGGACTTTGATCGACAGCTGCCAGGAAACCCGGGGTTGCCAGGTTTGATAAATGCCTGAACTGCCAAGAGCCGAGCAGTGACGGCAGCAAAATCAGTTCGACGAGATGCAGCTGTCAATCAAAGTCCAGTGGCTCCGCCCCAAAGTGCCAGAAACTTTTCACGCGCGCGTAGACAGACTCCGCGAGGCTGACACGCTCGCGGGGGTTTAATCTGCGCGCGAGGGTCATTTTATGCGCGTGTAAAAGCACATTTTCCGCTCGTGAGTAGCTTGTTTTACGCGCGAGAATATTGACCCAAATCTGACTCCATACCGGTGTCGGACAGACACAAACACATAGCTGAGGTGATTATTAAAAATAAAAGCTAATAAAATAAACATATACTGTAACATAGAAAACCTTAATTTAAAGGGTTTTGCAAAGAAAGTGGCGGCCATTTGAATTTCGCTGCCTGTAGCTTTCCAGTCTGTAAACTGAAAAATCTGTAAACATTGAATCAATTCAATTTAGCATCGGCAGCAAACCTTGTGTATATTAATGTAAACCCTTCAATATATTATATATAAATAATATTTTAAGTACATTTACCCATTTTGAACACAGCAAACAATCCAGAGGACCATAAGTGCATTGCTTGAAATGGATTTTGCTTTGGAGAGACAAAACAAGCACAGCGCCATATAGTGGCCTTATTGAGAACAGGCTTAACCAAGGCATCACCTGAAAGCTTATTTGATGCTCTTTGTGTCTTTATCATGAACTGTCACAGAGATATTCAATCAGAAAGAGAATGATGGCATCTGATCCAGCCAGAATTTGTGACTTTTTTCATATATGGGTTGCATTGTTTGGGGCACTGTAGCTAGTTGACCGGGTTGTCCACCCAGGTTGTGATCCTTGAAGGTCCGAGATATCATTTCTGGTGGACAACCTTTTACAACATTCCATGTCTGATTTCCCAAAAAATGGGGTTTTGCCATGAAGCCAACAATAACTCTGACTCACACCTCAGATTTGTTCAGAGATTCAAATGAATAAAGGGAAGCTGCTTTGTTTACCTCTTAAAGTTTTGGGCCCAGAGGATTGCTGTTTTACTGTAACACAGCATTTATATAAAATACAAAACAGTCAAATGTAAATGTAAGAATGAGGAAAATCCAAATGTTTAAACCAAAGAGAATACAGCATATTATGTGAGTTATTCCATTAATTGACATGACCTCCATTCAGACTTCAGTCAGTTTCTCTGCAACTTACCTTAAGTGACAGGGACAGTTGGGAGAACTTATCTGTAGCTACACAGACTGGCTCACATTTTGTCTGCAGAATTAAAAGGTTGGTCCATTAAATGCAGCGGTGCCAGTTGTTGATTAATCTGCAACTGTGAGTTCATGATGGTGGTGAAACTGCATGAGCTGTGGATAAAACCATATTTTCCTTATTGATATAGATGTCACAGTGTAGTGAGGTGAAGTCATAACAGTCTTAAACTTTTCCTTCTCACGACAGTAGTCTGCCATGATTTCTGTACAGCAGCAGCCCCCCCCCATCTATGTATATACTCGCATTTTAGACTCTGTTACTAACTGTATATCTGTAGACTTGGTATGTCTTAAATGTCCGGTTAGGATGTATTAGAACTAAATCTAAAATGAAAATTGTAAACAAGCAATCTGTATGTAAAAAACCACCTGTATGTAAATTGTAAATAAGCCATCTGTATGTCAAATATGTTTTATATGTCTTAAATGACATGATGAATTGGAAATGGGGGACCCTGATGTAAACAAGACGAAAGTCTTTCTCTGGTCTGCATCCCCTTAACAATTGTATGTTTTGAGCTGTACTGTACTGTACCCAATATACAAGCTGTTAATAAACTTTTCAATCAATCAATCAATCAGCAAACTGCTGTCATGTCAGACTTTATATCAATCTTACAATCAGGGTAGATAAATAAGGACTCTTCTCAAATTGAGGGTTATTTTCAGCCATCCTTGATAAACAATAAAAACACTAAAGCGCCCTTCTGTAACCTCAAACACTCTCACATGACACACCAATATGCCAAGTCTATGAATAGCAGAAGACTCATTTCCACCCTTACAGGAACACTTTCAGCAAACTGTTTACTTAAACTTAGTTGTCCATGGCAGTTTCATTTCATATGAAGCAACACTTCATTCAAAAGCTGCAACAACTTGAAACTTGTCATTACTAATTATTAGCCAAATGATAAATGAGTCAGTTACACCAGCCCCTCAGCACAAAGCCACTTTTTATCCAGTCTCACATGATGAGAAAACCAAAGCTGGAAAACTTATGAAACAAATACTCAAAACTTTACCTTAATGCGGCTGTACATACAGTATAAACCTATGAAGAATTTGGGAATTTATCCAGATGGCACCTTGAATGGTAACCAGACATGTGTGTGTGAATGCTGGCTTGTTTGGTAAAGCATTTTGTGTGGTTGCTAAGAATAGAAAAGCACATTATAAGTGCATTTACCATCATGTTTGATGAAAAGAAGACGAGTAGAAACATTGACTTTGTTAGTATTCATAATAGTTTGTATACACAATGTATAGGAGCACCAATAAAAAAACATATTTTTTTCCAAATCTTTTTTTCAACGTTTTTTAAAAAGCCACAGATTTTTTTTCTACAGAAAGCAAAGAAATCTCTGTACATGAACAAGCAACAACATAATTCCTCATCATGAGCTGGAAAGTAAACAACTCGGCTGCTCAAATTCATTTTCATCTCTGAAGCAAAATAATAATAAAAAAAACATTAAAAAAAAACAAGACCAGCTGCCTGCTGCTTACCTAGGACACTACGTTACACAAACAGCTTTTTGATATTTAAAACACAAGATATGTATAAGAAATGTACTTTTCAAAAATTGTGAAAAAGTGCAATACAGGTTCAACTGTTTACAACTCAATAGATTATTTCCCAAATGGAGTCCGGTCCTTTTTCTTCCCAGTTTGTTTTCAATCATTTTTTTCCTAAAACGTGTTCCTCGTTTGTATCCATAGTTAAAATCTCTTACAGATATATTGACATTCATGACGATGTACATTTATGAGAAACATGGTATTCACAAAAGTAGAGCAAATGACTATGATTGCAAATGACAAATTCTTTGGGTAGAGGGTAATGAAAAACTAGTTTCTTAGATGAACTTTTTTTTCTTTTTACATCAGATTTGTGTATAGAACAAGCTTCTTTTTTTTTCATACAAAAACTACCATGTAAAAAAGAAATCCGGGAGTCCTATTTAAAAGGCCAACATCTTTGCATCTTGTAAGATTTGTTAAAGAACCAGGGCATTTGATGAAGGACAGCAGGAAAAGAAACAGCACACATTGCTGTGGGAAAACGCACACATGGTTGAGCAGTACGGACACCGAAAACCAAATATTGGTTTTTGGGAACGACACACGCTTTTGATCACTTCTCATACAAAAGATAACTGGTCTGTTGCAGGTGATTGATTGATTGATTAATGGGTGATTTCTTCTTTTTGCAGGGGTGGGGGTCAGCGCCCTGAGTCCTACTGTAGGTACCCCTGACCTGAGAGGGGATACTGTCCCACAGAACTACATAGAAACGCAGCACACCTCCGAGCGACATCTGCAAAAGTCAAGACGTCTCCAACATACAAACAGGTTGGTAAGGCTTTTAAAACGGAGCTCCCACATCAAACAAAAGACTGAGAAATAAAAGGTTTTTAATGTACATAGGGGACAACACTATGCCAGAGAAGAATGTACTGTAAAACACATCCGGCTTCTCTCCCCTTTTGATATGAAAACTGAGCTTCAGGACTCACTCTTAATCCCACCTTTCATCCAAAATAATAATAATGAAACAATGGGAAACATCAGAAGAATGAGGCAGTTTAAAAAAAACACAACATATGTACATGTTTATAAGGATATGTGTGTAAAAAAACAATACAATAACATAGAAAATAACAAAAAGTCATGGCACAATATATGACACAAGGGGATAAAAACAGAAATAAAATGACAAGGTTTATGAATGTAGGCTTGTAAAGGGGGAGGGGGGGCTGATATCCAATGTTCACTTCACTGAAACGGCCCAATAGATATACAAAATGCACAAAGAAAACACTAATCAAACAAACACTGTGTGTAGACTGCGCTGCATGAGCACCAACATCAAAACCAGCATATTTTTGGACTTTGTCCTTTTGACTTGACATTGAAACCATTGTCTCATCTTGAGCAAACGTTCGCCACAAAAAACCTTACGTACATATTTTTGCGGAGGAAAAAATTCACAATCTTCCGGTTGAAAGCGACCAATGTTTTAAAGTTCATTGTCTCTGAGAATGGTTCTTCATAAAAGATGAAGCGCGTCACTTTGTCTTCCCTCTCATGGCAATCTCCTTCCTGAGACTGAGCAAGGTAAGCCGAAAAAAGTTTCAGTCTGGAGTTTGTTTCTTTCTGCAAGGGGACGTGAGAGTTTGTTTTGGGCACAATAAGCAATTTTGTGTCCACCAGCATCTGGCTCCCAAGGTTCCTGTTTGGGTGTGTTTGTTTGACTTTAGAGTGTGTGTCTTTCCGTGTGTACGTGTGGATGACAGAGAAAGTGTGTGTGTAGGTGTGTGTGCGTGCTCATGGCGCTGTGGTGATGGCGTTGAGGTCCTTCATGAGACCCTCGAGGTGGGCCATCTCCTCGGTTAGCTCGTCGGGCTCGTAGCTCTGAGGGAGAGGAACAGGGTTACTGCGGGGGGCGGGGGAGGGGCAGGGTGCGAGGGAGGCAAGCACCTGGAGGCAGGAAGGGAGGAAGGGAGGAGAAGAGAGGAGAGGAGAGGAGGAGAGGGTCAGTCAGGGATCTTTCAGAGGATGGGGGGGTTGTATGGGTGGGATGAGGCGAGCTGGGGGATGGGTCAATGGGACTGAAGCGTCGTAAATGGCAGAAACAAAAAGAGGGAGCAGACAAAAGCAAAACATTCAAAAGAGACGCCAGTAGATGTTCAACAGCCAATCATGGATTAGGAGGCGGAGGAATAAATAAATGGTAATAAATAAAGTCATTCCAGTTATGGGGCATGTTAAGATTAGTTGTTAGAATTTAAATAAATTGATCAAAAGGCAGGCGACAACAGCATAACAAAATGGTGAGATTGAAGTTGGAAAGAAAAAAAAGAGAGAAAGAACAAACAGAAAATGTGGTTAAAACCAATGTCCAGTGGAAGTAACCTTATAATCCAGTGCCCAAAGAAAAAACATGGATTTGGAAGGAATGTGTGATAGGTATACTTTTAAAAGACAAGACTAAATAGTTATTAGGCCTGGCAATAAGACAGTCTGCATTTCTAAAAGCTGCCAGAGTGGGGCGCTATACTCACGCTGTCGACATCTTCCAGCATCTTGCTGGTCTCTGGTACGTCAGGGGCGTTGGGTACGGTGACGATCATCGGAGTTCGTGTCCTTCCTAGTGTTCCAATAGAGGCTGTTTTAACAACATGGGGGTGAGTAGGAATCCCTGAATGCGACAAACACGTGCACAACAGTCAGTGAAGGCAACAAATGACAGTAAATCTAAAAAAGTACTCTTGGAAGTGTAAAAAAACCGATAGCCTTGAGTCACTTTCTTCATGTATCTGTCAAAATAACATGCTATGTGAATACGTTTTGAATGAGTTTTCAAAGTCTTATAGAGCAGATTAATTTTGTGAAAAAAAGTTGTGAAAAATGCCATAACACAAAAATGTTGCAATAGGTGAGGATTTCTTAATTATGGTGAACACACACACTGAATTTTGTACCACATACACAATCCTGATGCAGGAAATATTCAAAAGGTTGAAGTCGGTTACTGAGGCAAGTAGCGATTCCCAAATATCAACTATTTACTTTTTTGAAAAAGTACAAAATAAGTTAAAGGGGACCTATCATGCAAAATGCACCTTTGTACGTCTTTTATACATGAACATGTGTCCCCGGTGTGTCAGGGAACTCACCAAGTGTCAGAAAACACAACCCTCTCTCTTTTCCTCCATACCCAAATCTCTATAAACGGGGCTTTAACGGATCTGATACAGACTGATACAGATTTGAAAATAGTGTGACGTCAGTGACGAGGAGCTCCGGCTATATGGCCAACTCTCCACCTATCAGGGGAATGACAGGTTGCCGTGGCATGGTAACATGACGCTCGTAACTCGGCCCCCTCCTTTGCATGGGGGGGGTGGTCAGCTGCAGCGCATGCAAACACAGGGGTGGAGGGGAGCAAAATGAGGCATGGCTAAAATGCATGATCTGTTTGGTATTTTGAAAAAGAAAACGTATAAATATACATTATATAGGTATGGCCCTACAATATATTATTCAAATATAGCATGATAGGTCTCCTTTAACATAACCTTTAATTGAAGAGAAACATTTATGTGACAAAACATAACAGTTAAGAATCGAAATGTCATGTCAAGCAAGTTCTCGATTGTTGTAATGCAGGTGAAAATATAAATAAAGAACTGTTGATTATCTGTTAATTTAATTCAATAATCTGTATCTAATGAATAATAATCACATGCTGCAACTTTTGGATTTATTTTAGATCCCTGGTGTGTGTATGTGTGTTAAATATGAGTGTGTTTGCTCACCGGCCTGAGCGTGCAGCTGTGGGCTGGGCAGGGCAGACGACTCGTACGACGGATGGCTGCCGGCTGGGATGGCAGGCACGGCGAAGCTCTTGAGGGGGTGGGCGTGGGCGTGGGGGTGTGCCGAGCGGAGCGGGGGCAGGTTGCTGGAGTAGCTGGGCTCTTCCTCGGTGGTGGAGGAACCGTGATAACTGCCCTCAGGGTCCACCATGATCTCCGAGGGGCAGGAGACCTGGGAGGAGGCGGTGGCTGGGGGGAGGGGCTCTGAACTGGGGGTGTTCCTCACCGACTCTGGAGGGGGGCCGAGGGGTTTGGAGAGAAATCATGAGCAGATGTTCACAGGCTCACAACTTTTTACATTCACAGGGAACGATAACCAACTTCATACTGTCACTTTCCAGCTAGCTAGAGAACTAATGCACTGCTTTAGAGACAATTATAAAAATCTTCCTGGTATTTGGAAAAGTCTTAAATCAACATTGTACTGATTGTATTTTCTATTTTGTTATTTTCTACATAATTGAACAAATCATTCAAGAGAATATTCTTAATAAATCTGCTACTCAATTAAGTCTTTTTATAGCAAAACATTCCAAAATAACTTGATCTCAGCTTCTCCAATGTGAATATTAACCATTTACCAGGGAAATTGTGATGGGTATTATTCCGTTATTCTGGACATTATACAGACTATATAGTTGACTGAAAAAATAACACGAATGTTCAGTTGAAGCCCTGCAATGCAAACAGTCAACAATAATCCATATGTTTTGTAAATGGAACAGCCAAGACAGTCGAGCTCTCAGCTGTCACTGTAAATGAAAAACAGACAAAAAAGTCTGACGTGCGTCAATTCGGAAAAAGTAGAAGTTAGTAAAAGAAAGCATATAGAAACTTTTTCAGCAGGCAGGAAGTTCAGAAAAGAGAGGTTAGTAACAAAACCGTTGCAAACTACAACATGAACGCAGCCATATGGCAGCAGCATGTGAATGAATAAGAACATGATTATTAAATGAATGAATATGACCAGTGTCCCCCTCTGTATGTCTCCTACTGTCCAGCAGGTGGCAGTGTCTCACCTGTAGAGTCCACCCTCTCTAGATGGGAGATGGGGGTGGCACAGGCGTGCGGGCGAGGGTGCCCGCCGCCCTGGTGGTACATGTAGCTGCGTGTTGTCGACGCCAGGCTGCCCATGTGATAATGGTGGTGATGGTTATCAAGGGAATGGATGGGATGAGCACTAATCACAGCTGTGAATGGAAATGGACATGGATACAAACACAAACAAGACAAGATGTTTAACAAGCTGTAAAAATGATGAATGGCATGGAAATAATGCTGGTGAGATACACACACATGCAGCTGTAATAAACACACTTGAATATTCTCTCTGTCAAAAAGATTCAGGATGGAAGACAAGCAGAAAAATAAATGATAACAATGATTATTTTCTAGGTAGCATGACATGGAAAGATAAGATAGATTTGGAGATCTGTATTACGTTGTGCTCTAATCAACACGTTTTATCGACTGTTATCTGTTCATTATGAATGACTTATCACTCTCTCACACACTCACACACACTTACGCTGAGGCGGCTGTGAGTCAAAAGGCATCATCATTTTAGGCCTCATCCCTCGTCGGCCTGCTAGTGTAGACATGCTGTCCTCTGATTCGTGGCCTAAAAGGTACGGTGGAAACCAGCCATTCAGAACGATTTTTCTTTTGTGAATGATCCATCTGTGATCTTAGGATCCATTTTATATAATTGGGTTTTTGATCTCTAAATCTCACACACAGCACATGAACTAGTTACATTGAGTGGATTCACTGTACTGTGGAAGTTGTGATCATAACAATGGACATTATGTATGAAAAGCATGAAATGTGTTGCATGATAACCACAGAAAAAAACACCAGCAAGCACAAGTGTTGACTTGTGAAACAAAAACACCATCCCACTTTCTCCATCCTCCTGCAGTCATCCCCCTGCAAGCAAACCTGGGGGTGTTAGCACATTTCCTGCCTTAAAACCAAACAGTTTTCTTAGTCCCCAGAATCTACTTTCCTGTCCCCAACTCCCGCCAAACTCAAGACGTTTACTCAGGATTATTATGCATGTAATTCAAGCAGCAACGGTGACATTTCAATTCGATCCTTTCCCATAACATTTAAGTGAAATTCTTCCCCCCCCCCCCTCGGCGAGACTGACCGCGGTAGGAGTTTCGCCGCTGCTGGAGGTGGGGGTTGTTCTCTAGGCTGCTGTCAGCCGGCGTGATGTCCTGCGAGGTGCGGGGGATGGGCGTTTCCGTCATGACTGGGTTGGGATCCGGCGACTTGTCCATGGGTTTGAGTTCCAGCCTCTCGTGGTGAATCCAAAGATCAGGGGGCTTCAGGTCTTTGGAGTTTCCCTTGTATTTGTGTGAGCCGTTTGAGGATTTTGAGGCAGCCCGCTTTCTGCAGAAAGAAAACACAGACGTATCAGTGAGAGACTCCTCTCAGTTATAGAGAGAAGTACAAGCAAAAAGGGACACATGTGGGGAGCTGAAGATTAGTAACCAGAGTTGGAAGATGTATTTCAGAACTCTGGAACATGAAAAAGGACAAGAAAAAGTAAAAGTGTTACTGAGTTTCTTACTTTTTCTGGTGGGACGTGGTGCGCCGTGTGCACAGGAAGGCCCCGACCACCACCACGATGATGGTGAAGGCTCCCACTGAGATGATGATGACGATGACCAAGATGTGACCTTCACTGTTGCCTCCAACCCCTGATTTACCTCAAGAGGAGAAAGACCGGATTAGACTAGCTATTGGATGCCAAAATAATAATGTACATCCACTAGTGTCTGACTAATAGCATCATAGCTGAACAGGATTGTTAAAGAAGGCAGCTGAGAAGAAAACCTTACCAACTGGATTTCCACCACTATCTGGATGGTTTCCTGGGTTGCCCTGCTTGGGTGGCAGATTTGAGGCTGATTCAAAATGGAAAATATATGTTTTAGTGAAACTCCCTCAAGTGTTTTCATGGCCTCTTATACTGTCATATTTATACCTGAGATGCATTATATTCTGAAATGTTTTACAAGCACAAATAGATTTTGCTGGTCATGCAGCCAACATTTTCATCAGCCAAGAAGAAGGTAATCTCCAGAATGAGAGATACACAAGGTGCAGAGTCAGCAGTGGAAGATAAAGTGTGAAGGGGGAATTTACCTTGGTCATTAGCCATTTTGTCAGAGGACTCAGCTTAACAGGCCAAAGGAGAGCAGGGAGGGAGAGACAATAAAAAGCAAAAAACAGGTTAGTGAAAAAGAGCAGATTTGGAGACAGGAATAAAGCAAGAGATTAGAGTTGTGAGGAGGAGGAGGAAAGAGGCAAATCTAGAAGAATTTAAACCAACAGCCAGAGTGTACTACTGACACAGCCAAGAAGATATTAAAAGCAAAGCATCCAAGTGAAGAAGATTATAAAAAGTGTCCTACACACAGTACAATAACACATACTGATTTTCAGTAAAAAGAAAATACCAAACATCCAAAAAATACTGAAATGAAACCTGAAATGTACTCAGAGGTTAGTGTGAATTTGCTGACGATTAGTGGCAGTAATTTAGTCCTCCCCAAGCAATCAACAAGGCATGGGAAACATCCCTGTGCCCGCTCTCAAGACACTTTCTCACAAACAACTTAATCAGGAGGAGAAGTGTTAACTAGAAACTCATTTTAAGCCAGGACCTGATCTGGCAAGGCACTGCCGGTCATTAACATACCAACAAAACACATTCCCGGTGGAATACTTTGTAATGTGAAACTTGTATCATGTTGCTTCACATCATGAACTACGAACAGAATAGTAAATACCACCAAAAATGTATGATTCTGTCTTTGAGTGTTAAAAACTGCAGTGATTAGGTGTCTGATAAGCCTTCAAACTCATGTATCTGTTTCTCAAACTGAACTTCCAAGACTTCATTCACTTGTCCTTAACGTGTTCCTATATTTTCCTAACTTACTCTTTGGAGTTCGGAATTGTACAGCCTCAGACATGGGGCCCATGCCCTTTGAGTTTCGGGCCTGGATCTTGAAGTAGTAAGTGGTGTCCAGCGTCAGCTCCTGGATCTGGTGGGTCAGGCGGTTGCCAACCACTGGTTCGATAACCCAGTCATGGACCTCAGCGTTGACATCTGTACTGTAGTAGATGATGTAGCCTACAACAGGGAGGGTCAGGAAGAAAGACAATTCCATTAAGATAGAGGCTTTAACGCTGAGCAAAGCAAGATCAACTACAATGCTTTTGTGCTATTTCCTCCAAGTACTGTATTGTGTCATATTATCACTCTTTATTGGGTTTATTTATCTCACTGAATCTCTTTTTGATAAAATATGTTGAAGACTGACGAGATCTGAGCTCTCCTGCATGACAACAAGTAAAACAAATATTCCTTGGGACTTTGTACACGTTAATGATAAAACTTGAGTCTATATCAATCTGAGAACATAAAATACGTAACGCACGAGACTTGGATACTGACCAGTGATCTTCCCGTTGGCCTCGGAGGGAGGCTGCCAGTTGACGATTATGGTGCGAGGTTTGTTCTCCTTGCTCACCACGGTAACGTCTTTCGGGGAGGAGCTGGGAACTGTTTAGTGGTGGAGTGATTGAGACAGGTCATTTATTGCTGATAAAAAACATGACATATTGTAATGCTCCATCTTTAACAACATATTTCTCTCATTAATTATGTTTCTATACGTCATTAATTAACTCATATGATATGTACAGTATGTATATTGGATGTCTAATGTTTAGCTTAGCAAATATCTTTTGGATACTGTGTGTGCATTTTATGAATTTATGTGATTTCTGTGTTTGTGTGCGTATCGTGTAAGAGGCTCTACTGAAGTGACAACCTAATTGTTATGACGTTGTTTTTACATGTCAGTGCACAATGACCTTGAAGATAATATTTATTTAAACGATTGTGAATCAAACCCCTGGCTGGACAGATATAAGAACTGGCTGTTCTCCTCACTTCTTCGGAAAAACAACACATAATGTTTCACTTCGTTTTTTAAAGTCCAACAAATCTCAATCCAATAGCCGGATAAATACGCCGATTCCAAGAAAATTAGCCTTTGTTTTTAATGTGCTGTTTATTTTCAGGCCACCATTAGCTCAGCAGTAACAATTTACTCAATGAAGTATGGACTCTGACACTTTAGTATTTGCTGTGTGTATATTGTAAATACAGAATAGCCAATTTAACAGTAATATAGTAACTAAAGGGAGATCATTCACTGTCATCCCTCCGATGTTGTTTCAAGCTAAATGTAATTGAATCAGGAAAAGTATAATGAACCAAAACAAAATGCTTTTTGCTCTACAAGCTTGACCCCATAAAGACTCAGGTCTTGGTTGGCTCCTCAGGCTGATATACCCGGCCATGATGCTGCAAATCAAGAGAAACATGAAAAATAAATATGTTTTGTTAACACAACATTTTATATGTATTCTTATGGTTATAATTATCATTAATTTCTGATTCGTCCATTGGCGTATTGTGCGAGAAAGCAGGGTTAGTCCAAAGGGCTCTTAGTGAACAGAAGAGCAATACTTAAATTATACAGGCCTCACCCCCTGCATGCCACACTGGTTTCCTACCGGAGCACTTTCAGCCACAGACTGAGATCACCGATAACCACCACACAGCGCCACAGGAGGTCTTTCCTCCCAGTGGCCATCAAACTCTTTAACTCTTCACCCCTAAGTAAAGCGCACTGAGAACTTACACACCAACACTATGTGCAATATACATATCAATATAATTAACATCATTGCAATACACTCGCTGCTATATATATATATATATAACTATGTGCAATATTATATTATTATTAGTATTATTATTAATAATGCTATGATAACGTGCAATTACGTAACTGCCACTACGTTTTAATTTTTGCACTACTAACTACTTAATACTGCTAATAATGATTGCATTGATTGTGTGACCATCTATGTTTCATGTTGTCTGTGGATGTTTAATTGCTCTTTTTCTGCTGTGTTTATTGTGTTTATTGTATTTTGTTACTCTGGCACAACAATTTCCTTCGGGATGAATAAAGTCTTATCTTATCTTATTCGCCAACCACCAATTTCACTTGTGGTTAGTGTGAAATCTATTGATAAATACCTTCCATATTAACTCGATTAAACTATACTGTACAGTGACCGTTTGGTTATCCGCAGGTCTGTCATCTCCTTCCCTTCGGTCTGTAAAAAGTGAAACATTACTTCCAGCCAGCCAGGGGCTCGTTACATTGGAGCATGTCTTTGTGGATGTGTACATTTGGTGTGTTTGTGCACAATTATTCATGAGTCTTTGTTTGCTCCTACTGGTTTCAAAGGTGGTGCCCTGAGCAGTCATGCTCCACGTGCTGGTGCGGCGCCCTTTGGTCACCATGACGGAGAACTCGTACAGCGTGTTTGGCTTCAGACCCGTCACCATGTGGTTCAGGCTGGTGGTGTTGGCCATCTGGAAACACACAGGCAAACACACACAATAAACAATAATTCAGTTTGTTTGATTGTAGATTACATTCACTAAACACAGATGAGGGATTCAGAAGTATTTTTGTCAGCAAAGGAAAAATAATAGGAGAACACTTTACTTAAAAAACATTATTAAAATTAATATTTCACTATAAAAACAGCTGACATATATTCTTCTCTCAATTAACTAAGGAATTCATTGTTACTATAACTCTGGATGTTGTGCATAGTTTATTACACTCACTGACCACTGAGGGGAACCAGAAGCTTTTACATTCTGTAATGCTCAGTCATGTTTGGTGTGAAACATGATGGCACAGAAAGACGAGTGTAGCCATTGTGAAAAAGCTTTACACTGCAGATTAGCATAACATCAAGTTACAAAACACAAGGGGTCTATTTAAAATGTCTACAGCATCACAAACTTTAAATTAGTCAGCAAGTCGAAAATAAACGTGGGTTATGTCATCTTGATGTGTGTTGTCCTGAGCTGGCAGGCTTGCTGTGGTTTGTCGCTCGCTAACAGCCCTATCTGTAACATTGCGTGCTATCACAAAAGTGCAGTTCTCCAGCGGGGATGTCACACAGAGGGCAGTGGGATAGGAAAAGAGAAATGTTCTTAAGAAACATGCTGCCAGTTTGAGAGCAGTTGTCTTTTCAATAATGTACAAGCTTGTCTGGCTAGACTCGCATCAGAGTAGAGGACATGATGAACATTACGGCTTCACTGTTGGTTAGACTGGTTTCAAGGTTTACGTGCACAAATACAATGTAGATTTCGGAGATAGGAATCCTCTGATTAATACAATACACCAAAATAGACTTGTTAGAAGATGGAATTTGGTTATTGGGACAGAAACATAATGAGCCTGTGAAACTCTTTAATTACTGTCACAGGCGGAGAATCAAACCAATTTGAGCAAGAAGGCAGCAAAACCTGGCTGCTGAGTCTGTCTGTGTGTGTGTGTGTCTGGTGTATATGTGCATGTGTTTCTGAGTTGGCTAGATGGAGAATGCACTTTCAGAACTACAGAGTATTTTCCTAGTTCTTAGATTCTCTTGTCCTTGTTGAATAATTGATCAGTCAACGTAGGCCTTTATCAGAGCTCTGCTAGGTCACATGTTTGCATACATACATGCAGCCATAAAAAACACTTTTGCCATTATTGTAAAGTTGGGAGGGAAGAGGTGTATAGAAAACAACATGCACAACATTTTCTGTTGAATATCTAACAAAGAAGCAGCTTAAGAGCTTTTGCTGTGATAAACGATATTACTGCACTTGCTGTAACCACTGTTCATGGATGATGCCAAATCAACCAGGACAGTGATCTTACAGGATATTACTGACAATCAATCAATTATCAATTGCAGCCCTACAACTCTAGAGTCACTAAAAAGAGACTTAAACATAATAAACTATAATAATAAGCTATTGAGTTAACTGAGTTGTCAGCCACATTTAACGCGAATGGAGAGCAATGAGAATTTTATTCAGCCTACAACTTTATGAAGACAAACGCCTTTACACTTAATTCTGAGGGAGATGTTCTCAGTTGAAACAGACTTCTTCTCTTTATAGTGCTTCCTGAGCCGGATGAAAATAGATTATTGCTTGGCATTATCCTGCCGCTGTGCTTGGGAGCTGCTGTGGGAATACTTTATTATATATCATTGTATGACATTGCTTTTCATTTTCAGCACATCAATACATCTCTCTGGTAAGTGTAGGCGCAGCGGGAGGCACAAAGTCCCACAGCACTAAAATACACAGAAATCGTACTGTATTAAATGAAGGCGCATTTTTAGAGTTTGATCAGACTGAGATGATTCAAGTTTTACTTCAATGAATTTGACTCGTAAATAAGTTACTTGAGCTTTAAAGTGCTGAGCTAAACCAGAAAAAATTAGAAAATTAAACTGGGGCTTCAATTTATGAGAAAATCTTTCTCAATTAGATTGACAATAAGTTTTTTTTAGTGCAATGATTTTAGGTAATCTACACACATTAAACCAGGAACATGAAGCTCTTACCTTCACTTTAGTGTTGGCAGGGATGTTGGTCTTCCAGCGGACGGTGTAGAAGCGGTTATCTGTGATCTTTTGGTTCTTGGGCAGCGAGTTGTCGGCCCAGGTCACCTTGATGGTGTCGTGGCTCAGCACGGAGGACTGAACACCCACAGGCGGCATCATGGGAGAGGGGTCTGGTACTGGGGTGTATGGAGCATGATAGTTGATAGACATGTCAACATCGGGGTCTATGGGGTCTGCATGTTATGGCAGGAAACCCGCATGCATGCACACAAATTAAAATGACCAACATTAAAACATAAAGGAAAAGGCGTGGCGGATCGGACAGTGGAGTCAACAAAGGATGCAGGGAGGAACAAACAGAAGAAAATATGGTTAATGAGTTTAAATAAAGAGGGAGGGAGAAAACAGATAAGTGGATGGGATTGGGAAGGATGAAGAGAAAGAGAGAGAAGATTCTATTAGAAAAACAGACACAGACCTCTACAATAGGACAAATCTACAGAGCTGGTGCTTTAAAGAAACTACTATACAGTATTTTTCCATCAAGAGCTACTATATACTACAGAGAGAGAATGGAAAACTCTATTCATAAGAAAAGATTGCAGTAAATGGAAATCTAGGCAGAGAGCAGATAACCACAATCCTACAGCCAACATTTTCAAGCTCACATATTTAAGTGTTAACACACTCTTTTCAGAGAAAGGAGGTACTGGCATGTGTTTTGACGTGTTTACATCATGGACCTGTTCCCAACATTTGAATGCAAAGTGGATAAACAGACGGACTAGGGATTTACTGGAAAATGTTCCTCTTTGCAGAGTAACATCTAAAAGGCTGCATTATGTCCTTGAAAACTGTAGAAAGAATGCCGAGGCTTTAAGTGAGGAAGCCTGCAGGCAGAGAGGAGGGTCACGGTCAAGTGGTAGTTTCATGTGTGTCTGTGCTTCAGATCTGAGCCTTTTGGCAAACTCTGGCACAACTAGAAAACATATATTAATGTGCGGTTTCCTTGTTGAATAAGACAATCAATTAAATGAATACCACAGGCTTTTTGTATTATATTTTGGGGGATTCAAGGACACAGAATAGTTTTATAATTATTCTCATGTATTGATTCCAGTTGTATCAAAACTGGTAAATGTCAATACTTTCTCAGTCACCCATGATGACTCTCCTCCTTGACCAGCTGTTGGTCCTCTCCTCTCTGCCTCGCTCCATTTGACACCTCTTTGTACAGAGCTGCCCTCATTACATTCCCCAGTCAGAGTCAGAGTGTGTGTGCATGATGAACACCCAGCATTCGTGTGGTTATGGAGAGACACTGCGGTTTTTGGAGTGGCATGCAAGCTGCATTTCTTTACCCAGGTTTGTGTTACCACAGTCTCCAGTGTTAACCAGTAGAGCAGGGTGCAGGAAAGAGTTGCCCTGGTAACATTATGTTACAGGTCCGGATGCAATTCCTAATTTCCTGCTCCTAAGTTTTGGCGCCATGTTATTATAACATATTCAACCCAGCACTCTCAACCTAAGTTCACCAAGTTTCTCCTTTTTTTTCAAAAGTTAAAGTGCTATGTAGGTCAGCTCGTCTTTTTAATACCGACTTGAACAAACTGGCAGGAAGGGAACGCGCCCCAGAAGATTCAGCAGACGATGGTTGTGGGCTTTGGTTCTGCTTTGAGAGGAAACGTTTGGATCTGACGAAGGGTTGCCAAGAACACCACAGGGGGTCTGCGAGTGTGTGTGAGGAAGAGAGGGCTTCATACAGAGAAGGGTACAGTGTGACAGTGTGTGGGTGTGCGCGCACTTAAGACTGCCACCCCCCCTCGAAGCATGTTGACGGGATTCATGTCATCCAGCATCCCACCCCTCCCCGCATGGCTGTGCAATGGTGCTGCTGCAGAGACGAACTGCAGTGATCAAGGCTTCATGGGGGGGGCGGGGGTGGGCAGGATGGGAGAGGAGGCAGGTGCAGCCCACATTCGGGGGACACCACAGGGAGCATGGGCTGGTTGTCTTCTGACATTGTCACATAAACTCTGTGAACTCCACTAACATGCAGTCTAACTGGCAGTGTTTTCTCGCTTTCAGATCATTTGTCAGGCACTCTGCAGAGAGACTTAACTTCCTCTTCTAATTGTGAGCTGAGGCTTAAAGAATTACAGAGTCTCGGGCTGGCAGCCAAACTCGATTCCCCATATTATTTGCCCGATGCGACAAAGCTGTTTCATTATAACAATACATCCAATTACCTTATTTAGGTTGATATTCCTTTTTCATGCAAATCTAAGACAGTGACAAATAGTTTTGTAGCTATTTTGTAATTAAGATGTGTTTAGCCAAACTTTTTCTGATTGAAAAATAAACTTGTAAAGGCTCATTTGTAGACATTAATAGTGACTCTAAACATAATAGTTCTGCTATTGCTTGTTACTTACACCTACGCCACTAAATCTCTTTGGCTCTACTAAAAAGTATGTAAAATGCCTGTTTACACTGATTAAGTTGGTGAGCTATATTCCAGTGTGGGTTATTTATTATAACTCCTTATAACATATTTGTGAATGTATGTTGATCTGTTGCCTCTCATATATACCTTACCTGGGAGTTGCTAAAGCTGCTAATGAATTATCCTTTTTGGGAAAAATAAAAAATAAAGTTGTGTAAAACCTGAAGAGGTTCTCCAATAATATTTCTTTATTCCACTCTTTGTTGTTGGATATGTGCTCCTTCAATATATTGGAATATTATTCCCTGACAACCGAGGACATCTGGTAATGTAAGGGCAACATTTCAGAGCCTTGAAATTTTGATTAAAAAGAGACTCAAGTAAACGGGGAGTCATTAAGGAGAGAATTAATTAGAGCAGGGACAGCCAGATGACCCGTTATATCTCCTTGGTAACTTGGAGTCGAGACAAATTCAGCCTGATAATGATCTGAGATTAGAGAGAGCAGAGATAACTGTTCACAGGATTTAGGATGCTACCATTTGCAGTGTACCGAATGATAAGAGATTTAAGGTCGGCATGGAGATGTGTGGATGTTTGTGGTCCTACCTGACTGCGGTCTGGTGATGGCGCTCTCGTACACCGGGATCCCCTCACCCACGTTATTGTAAGCCTTCAGGGTGATGACATAGTGGGAGCTGGGGACTGAGAGAGTGATAGAGAGAGGTTAAGAAAGAGCATGGTGAGAGACACAGGAAGAGCGAGATAAAGGATGTGTCCGGCCATCTAATCAAGCCCAACCTCTCAAGACCCTCCACTGATAATTGCGATATTGGCCAGAATGAGTGTTTGGACACAATCCTCCTCTTATTGTGATTGTAATAAGGGCTTCAATTATGCATACATAGATATTCTGCAAGACTTTTCCTCCTAAATCTATCCCATTTAATATGATTATTATTATCTAAGTCTGACCTTTTCTGAAGCTTAGATTACTGGAGTATTAATTGTATATTATTGAGTTTGACCTACATAATGGGTATGGTAGAAACAAAGAAATAACTATGGAGCAAAATGTGTGTTTTGCTGTCCAACGAAGCAACATCACTACCTATTGCTAATATAAGAAATGTCAAAACATTGATTTCTTGAGTTCTATTAGTAGATAATGTATTCCAACTCCTCCAAAGTTCCATACTGGTAACATGTATGCATATGTCAGTTTCTCAAAGGTTGGACTAATGCAGAGAAATGTCTCTTACTGTATGCAACAGTAGGAACAAGCAGAATATTTTACTAAGGTAGACCTTTCATTTTATGTTTCCTTTTCTTTTGATGACAGCAATAATTAATACCACCAAAACTATTTGGTTTGATTTAAATAATTTTGACCCCTAATTATCGTGTCCCCATTAGGCCACTCTGTATAATTAACGGCTGAGGCGTGTGGTGGAGAAGATCTCATTAATTCTGTAAATGCTCTCTATGAGAGATGAGCTGCTTCATACTGTTTGTGTGTCTGGTGAGGGTTTTCTCATTTGTTATTAAAATGTCACATAACTAGTTAGTTCTATTTCTAAGTAGGACAATCACAGTAATGTTTCTAAATGTTGACATTTTAGTATATGACGCATTTGTCCCCACGCTCTCATTACTATCTGAAACAGAGCTATTTGACAAATCAGCTGAGATTCTTCAATGTCATGATGTTGTGTGACAAATTAATATTTCAGTAAAAACAGAACACAAGCATTACGGCAATGTTTGAATGAACATGTTCTTACAGAGGTTCTCGATAGTGTAGTAGCGCTGCTTGTAGTCCACTTTGATGGTCTGGGCATGGGGACTACCGATGCCATAGCCGATGGTGTAGCCCCTCACCACAATGTCCTGGTTCTCTGGAGGCGTCCAGCTCACCACGATGCTGTTGACCAGCGGCCGGACGTGGAGAGAGCTGGGCTGGTCGGGTACACAGGATTCTAGCAAAGGAAATACATTAAATAATAACTTATAAGTATGTCTTTACAATTTCAGAGAGCAACATGGGTAATTAAATGCTGAAAAAGGTTGAAAACATACATTCCAAACCTAGTTTAGTCTGTACATATTGAGTAAAGCAGATGATTTTTACCATCCAGGTCGCTCTCAAACGTCTCAGTTGTGGTCCACTCGGTGGCCGGCCCTGTGCCGTTCACAGTAATGGCCGACACCCGAAAGGAGTACTCAGTCCCACGCTCCAAACCTGGACAGGAAACACAAGCCGGTCAGATTCAGAATGTTTAGACTGAGCTGTGGCTGATCTGAATTTCAAGCAGCAACAAAACTCTTTCTTTAAATCTTCTCTCTCCCTCTAAAACCTGATTTTATTAATAATTTACAGCTGCTGTCAACTTGGCTGGTAATCTGGGGTTTCAAGTTGCAGACACAATACATTTTTGGAAAGAAACACATATTTTAAACAGATTTCCTATTCCTCTGCACAATTTAAGGAGGAATGTATAAGCTAGCCTGGGGAAGGATTAAGTGAGGGTTTCTGTGCAGTTCATTTTCTGTTCAACTCGATATCACAGGAGTGATTGAGATTTTTTTTTTTACCTTTTACTTTTCTTAATGGTAAATAAATCTTTATCCACCAAAGCATATAATCAAAGAGAACAGTGTGTAAAAGAAGCCAGCACAGAAAAGTAACACAGAAATCTTTTGGAGTTTGGAGTTTAGTTAATATTTTAAAGCTATGTCTCCTTCAGAGTTGATTCACTGCTGGGTGCCAGCTTTAAAATGCACAAAAGAGAGGAGAGCCTGCTGACAAATGAGGTGTTGCTTTTTTAATTTGCTGTAAAAATTGTCATCATCGCTACATGCTAATCCTGCTGCCTTTTCTTTTTTGTACCCACTATTCTGGGCCGCCCTTGGGGGGTTGCTTCTGAAGACTGCCTAACTATCCATGCCTCCAAGGCTACAACATCTTCTTCTAAACGCTTTTGAACCAACAAACACCCCACTGTCCCCCCCCCCAAAATCTACTTTTAAGTGTATATTCTCTTTGATGCAGCACACAGCTTGACGTCAGGCCACTTGAAAGTTGCTGAGACAACATCTAATATTAATCACCAGTGCAGCGTGTCTCTGGTGATGTTTTTGTGGTAGCAGCGGGTGACGTTACGGTACAGTAAGACATGAGACCCTCTCAAAGTGTTCAGATCAAATGCAGATAAACAAACACAATTACAGACAGACCGACTCCAAACATCAACTCAGACATGTCTTGAATCTGAAGATCTTAAATATTGTAGCATGTCAGAACTAATTGACGGATACATGCAGCAGAGGTCAAATGGAGTGTGATAGCATAAGGGTTTTTATGTAGGACCTGTATGTAGGATCAAATGGGAAATTGTGGATGTGTGGAGCTGTGTTCTTAGTAAAGAGCACAAACCAGCGTTTCCGCCAGGGGGCCGTCTTGCCGTCATTTGACGCCCTTATTCAGCTCGGGACACCCTGAACTCGAGCCGAGGGCGTCCAAAACATATTAATAATTCGAGAGTAGATCGAGAATTTTTATTGCTTGAAATGACGAAAAGGACATCCCTCTGTTGGAGGGGCAAAGGAGTCTGGTGGGATTATTTTCGGAGTATTGAAGATCGTTTCCCCGACATCGAAGGCACCGGCTGCTACAGGACAACACGGAACGTGCACGATTTGGACGCGATGAGCAGGGGGAGTTTAGTGGAGCACGCGCGTGAGCTGTGCCTGCGAGCGCGTGAGCTGTGCCTGCGAGCGCGTGAGCTGTGCCTGCGAGCGCGTGAGCTGTGCCTGCGAGCGCGTGAGCTGTGCCTGCGAGCGCGTGAGCTGTGCCTGCGAGCACCAGAGCCTCGCAGCGGCAAAACTGAGGCTCCCTGGTAAACTGTGGTAACATGAAGAGCCGTTCGGGAGCCGAAACAGCCGGCGCTTTAAGAGAGCCGAGCCAAATGATCCGGCTCACTAACGTAAAAAGACAGTATCTATAAGGGACGGCTCAAGTCAAAATTCAAAACAACCCCCCCCCCCCGCTCTCGGGGTGGACGCCCTCTCAGCCCTGGTCTGGCGGAAACACTGGCACAAACCCTCAGTCCTATCATTATTCCTATGACCCTGATCACACCCAGCATCAAACACACTCAGTGGACAGCTCTAAATGCAAGTGTGGACACAGATAACCCCAGATAAAGGAAACATTGTTAACTAGGATGCATTTAAAATGCATTTATATGATATGTGTGAACTGCTCTCCATCTCTGAACAAACATGTAAAGTGCTTGTTGTAACGGGAGCTAACTAGCTTCAATACAAAATACAGTTATAAATGCAACACATTCACAGCAGCTTGCAAAGCTGTTAAACGAGAATTGAGTCAATCAAAAAAAGTTAAAACAACAAATACAAAATGTTGTGAACATGTGAGGGCGATGCTACAGCAGGTAGAGTTTAATTTTCACGTCAGCAACTATAGTTGAGCCAAGCCAGTGTCTATTACCATCAATGATCTTGTTCAGCTGGGTGCCTCCGGTGGTCTCGGCTGCTTCACTCCTACGGGAACCTTTCCGGTATCTGATCTTGTAGCCGGTGATCTCCCCATTCTGGTCACTAAAGGGTGGGGGGTTCCACCGAAGCATGATGCTCTGAAGGAGGAAAAAAAGGTGGATTAAACTTAAACCTGCGTATGTGGAAATGTCTGGTTTTGAGCCTGCAGCTGTGAAGGTGACCTCATTGTTTAGCATCACACCTTCCCACACACACTTTGGCACAGACATTTGTGTAAACGTAACTCTGCAGGTTTACTGTTCTGTTGGCCAGAAACACAAGGTCTCTCCCGCCTCTCCCCTCTCCTCCTGACTGTGGTGCAAATGGGAGGGCCGTGTTAAAACAAACATCCCTCTGAGCAAGGGTGACGCAGCGCAGATTGACGCATTAGGAAGGAATAAACACATGAATAATAGAGGGAGGTGTCCTGATGAGTGGGGTGTGCATGTGTAACTGTCGTCAGGTTAACCCTGCAGAGAGGCAGAGAGAGGAACGCAGGCTGGCGAGCAAACGCTGTCGAGGGATTCATGAATCTGAGCTTTTGTGTGTGTATTTAAAGAGATATGTGGGGGGTAGCCCTGTGTGGGAGAAGAGTTAATTAACGCTTTCTCACTGTCACACTGATGCACAAAAGCCTGAATACATGTGGAGGGCACACACACAGGAGTTCCTCCACAGCCAAGTCAAGGGAGTTGAGCAAATTACATTTGTGTTAAGTGTGTTCAATTATTCCACTTTTGTTCTTACACTTTCAGTCCCAACTCCTCATCTCCCCCTTGTTCTCCATAGTCATGGAAACCTTTTTAATTGACTTCTGGAAAATTCACAGGGAAAAGGTGCAGAAGAAGATCATAAAGACAATGTTCTCGGGTTGCCTTGCAGGGTAAAGATGTGCCGTTCAGCTTGACAAGGCCCAAAGAGGAGGCTGAATAAATAACAAATATTAATTTGTTTTTTTCCCCTTGGTTTCATTTGGCTGGGCGTATCCAAAAAGCGAATTGCATAAATGATTTGCATCTATACACTCGCACCAGGATTGTTGACTTAATGACTGTTTACATTCAGAATTAAACACAATGACAACAAAGAGAAAATATTAGATGAACTAATTTCAATAATGCTTGGGAATAAATGATGCCAGATGTTTGTTTTGCAGCTTTGAAGGGGTTTGTCTGTGTGTAATTGGGAGGGGACAGCTGGACGTACACTAGCCATTCAGAAACACAATCCCTATCGTTCCCACAGAGCGGCTCTTTCTCATTTTTACTTTTAACATTAGCATGAGGGTTTTCTCTCCATTAATCTCAGCTGAGTATCCCTCAGCATGGGTGGCCGGTTCTTGCTCAAGCTGGAAGTGTGTGATAGGATTCTCTACCAGTTTCCTTTTCTAGTTTCAACGACAGTTTTCTGTAATTCTGGTTCTGCATTGAAGGGCTAAAAGCGCTGGCTGCTGCTTTTGTAGCCAATGCATGCAGCTCACAGTTTTCAGCATCTCCTTCACTTCTGTTTGTAATTGCTGTCTCATGTCATGAGTGAGAAACTCTTTAAAAATCAAATGTAATCCATCATTCAAGTGGAAATATACAACAGGCCTGCAGCTCTCTGTCTGAAGATCAAATGGTTGAAGAGATTTCCAGCTGAGGTCAGTTTCCGGTCTGAATCAAGAGCTGTGAAGCCTGAACACTACTCTCCCAAGAAATCTATTGTGAATGTATTTAATTTAACCTAAAAACATGCTAACCAACAGGTTGAAATGGTTGTCACTACGTTAGCTTTGCACCTAGCATCACATTTAGCATAGATTTGTCGGTCAAAAGCCACCAAAACAAATATTTTAGCTGGGAAATGACTGCAGGCCAGATACTGTACAGAGGGAGAGTGATCCAGAGGATAAAACCTTCTGACAGACGGCTCTCCTGCCGATGAGAGGATCGATGAGGGTTCACACTCCATCTTAACCAGCTGGGGCAACAGGCCTGTGACACGGCTGATCACACAGAGAAACAACGGTGTGCTAGCCTTCAGGCTACGTTCTGTATTTGTTCAACTGTGTGTGTGTGTGTGTGTGTGTGTGTGCGTGAGTGTGGATTTTGTGAAGCGGCTGCATACACCGTGGACCGAAGCTCAGTCAAGCTGCAGGCAGTTTAGGTGCATTTTTATGTTGGCATCTGAGGGAGTCTGTACAACATGCGTGAAAGCTTTTAAGACGTCAATAAGAGAAGGGAAAAATCTAGACTGGTTACACGTCATGCAAACTGTGTCTTACTTTTGAGTTCTGAACCTCCAGGGTGAGGTTTTGAGGAGGAGCACTGGGTACTGTGAAACAAAAGAAAACAGAACATTTATTTTCTTCACAGAAACATAGCACACTGAGGGTGAGTATTTTAATTAGCGGGTGATTAACACAAATTCTATTTTTAAATAAGCTGCTTGTCTTTGCCTTATGTGACAGTAAAACAGATACCGTAGGTTGAGTGTTGCTCTGAAAAAAAGCATTCCATTTGAAAGCATCAACTCAGATTCATCATGTTTTCCAAAATTGACAGACTAAAGGATTAATTGATTCATGTAGAACATTATTTGCAGGTGAATTGCTTATAAACTAATTGGTTAATCACAGCACTAATCTACTGAAAATGAACAGTTCACTGTAAAGATGTATCTAGCATACTGCAGATTACTCTAATTTATAGCCATCCATGACATTTTACACACAGACAAGGATGTTAACGTCAATCAGGACATGTCACAAACCAAAGGCAGGCTCTCTTCATTAAGATACTGACCATCAGACAGCGTGCGAACGGCCACATCGTCAGTGGAGACCCCCGGCCCGTGCTTGTTGTTGGCCACCACACGGAAACTGTACTCTGTGTTCTTCTTCAGGCCTGTCATGGTGTAGGACTGAATGTCAACGTCAACGTCCTGAAAGAAAAGGAGGGAGGAAAGAGAAGAAAGTTTGTTTGAATATACTAAAAATATAACAATTTATAAATATGAATTAATACAAATATATCTTCTTAGGTGACTGTGCTAAATAGAACATATGAAGTAAAGTGCTGCAAATAAAGCCAAAACCACACATTCATTTGACTAGTTCTATACCAACAACATTTACAGAATTGTGTAATTTTAGCTTTCAAGTTTGATATTGGCACACACATGAGTAAATAATACCAGTTCCAATAGTTTTAAAAGCCTAGGATGTGGCAAAGCTACACATGTGTTGCCTCCTCCATCATTTCATGACACCAATAACTCAGTTTGTGATTCTGTGTGTTTAAATAACATCCAAGGCAGAGAAACAACTTATGCTCCGTGTGATCAAAACTCTACTTCAGGCCAATTTACATTCGTCTCTCCGCTTGTGACATTTGGAGTAGAAAGGCGGAGACTTGGTGGAAATCGAATCTTGCTTCCGAATCGCTTCAATCACAACCTCTGACCTCGAGGCATATGATCGCTTATGACCACTTCACCCTGGAAGAGGCATCACAGGTTGTCCCTGACTTCCCCCTGTCCTTTAATATTTCATCTCCTTTCAGCACTGTATCTTTCTATCTTCGTCTGTGCTCCGTCCCATTCCTTCACCTCTTTCTTTCCACCCCTCTCTTAATCTCTTGCCTTTTTCACCTCATATCTGGCTCTCTTCTCGAGGGAACTGAAGCGTCATTACTCAGTACGCAGGATGACGTTTCATCCATTATCATATTAAAGGCTTTTTAATGCCTCACTGGCTTGCACACCGCTACTGCTGGGGCTGACTCAATATCTAAGCATCTGGATTCCACTCCTGTGACGGAGTTAGACCTGCAGAGAACAACTCTGTGAATCATATTTCCTTTTTTTTTGCACAATATGCATTTTGTGTGAGATGCATAATCAAGAATGTAGCCAAAAAGCAGTACAAAGAGTCTTTAAGCTAATGATTAGGAACGCCTTACCTCATCACAATTTACATTAGGCAAGGAAGTGAAATTCTTTTTATCTAATGAACCCCGCAAAAGCAAGCAGCAGCTACAGGAAGTACCTCTCCTCTTAGGTACAAGACATGAGACAATGATGTTCACTGAAACTATCCAACTTTTAACAATATGAAATCAATAAAAAGAAGGAAAAACACAAGGAAAAAATGTAATGCAGGAAATACTACACCCGTTTAAAGTCCTTTAAAAAAGTAGTACATTATATCTGAAATGATATCTAGACTTTACATGTTTTATCTGATTTCTGGATTATTTTTATTTATATATTTTTTCCATCAAGCCTTTTATTGTCTTGTTTCTACATCTGTTGTTCTGTGTGCAGCACTTTGTAACTACTCTTTGAAAAGTGTAAAAACGTTGTCTCAGATCCCTTTCTGCTATCACACATTATAGCTGAGTGAGTGAAGACAATTTCCTACCTGTTCGTTGTCAAAGCTTTTGTCTGTGTAGAACACCTTGTAGGTGAGCATCTCTCCGTTGCCAGTGATGGGTTTGTCCCAGCTCAGAGAGACGGAGGTGGGCGTGTTGGACACCGCCTGCAGGTTCGGAGCAGGACCGGGCACTTGAACTGAAGCAGGAGAGCAGAGATTAGAAAACATGACAATTGTGTTTTGTTTTATCTTGAGCCCTCTCCATTTTTCTAAGCATTTTTATGCATCTGGAAAACAGGAGCTCAATTTAGCATGTCCATTTGTTGCTGCCAGAAACACATTCTTGGCTCCTCTAAAGCCTCATTTCCCTGTGTGAGCTAGAGCTGAGACCAAGACGGCTCAGAGGAGAGCGATTCCCTCCGGACTGGGCTGACATGTAGATTTTCTTGTTATTGCCATGACAAACAAACTGAAGGTGCGCCTCAACAAAAACATCAATGTGCATCTCGCATTACACCAACATTTGCCTCAGGCTAATATTCAGTACGCTTGACTGTTTATCTAACTACGTGTAGTTATTCAAAATAAGGGGCAGGATTAGACAGAGATTGAGTTATAACTTGTCTGTGTATCAGTTATATGTCTTGTGAAATAAATAGAAAAGGGCAGATATGTAAATCTTGTTGAGGAATGTGGTTCAACATCTTAAAGTAGAGGCTTTAAACTTGGCACTGTGTTAATTTATATCTTTTAAACTTTTTAAAGGATCTGACATCTTAAAAAAACTAATGAGAACACAAACATTAACGTTAATGTCTCAGATTTCTTTACTTCCACTTAGATTAGGGGAGTGTGAATTAAACTACTCGGCTATTATTCCTACACTGTGGTAAATCTAAACACTTTTAAATTATAGCAGACCATTAGCACTTTAACATCCAAGCAAATATCTTATTTAATTTCCAGTTTGCTGGCAGATAGAGCTCTATCACGTCCCTAAAAGGTTGTGACATGCTGCTACCACCAAGAAGTACCTAAAATGTGAGAAACATACAGATATGATGGTCAAAATCAAACAAGATATAAAACATGTAAGAGTTAATTTGGCTAGTTTAAAAGGTAAAAAGTCATCTTTGTTTTTCGGTAGTTTAATTGTCCTAACCCAATAATAATGTAAGGAGGATGAGAATCAACCTCGTAAGCAGCTGGTTCCAGTACTGCAGAGAAACTCGGAGAGTATATGGACAGTGGTGTCATTTCTTGTTGTCTTTGTACTGTCCCAAATTAGATTTTAAATTAAACATTGACTATAAGGTTAAAGTCACACAGAAAGAGATATGTGTCTGTACCTTAAATATCTGATATTGAAGACAGAAGCTCCCCTTTGTGTGGGTTTGAGTGTGTCTGTGTGTGTGTGTGTGTGTATCAAGTTTCTGTGGAGAGGTGACACGGTGCAGCTGCAGAGATGTGTGCACACACCTGGCACTCAGGTGCAGGTCAAGAGTTTAAGCTCCCATTCGTAGCATGTTCTCACACTAAAAGTGCACGCACACGACAGAGATATACTGCCCAGGTACAGCCCGCCCTCACTGCTATCCCCACGGGTGTCTAGGCATTAACGTGCAGTGTGTGTGTGTGCATCTGTGTGTCGATCCGTCCGCCCTCCAACCAAGGACACAGGTAGAGTAACGGCAGCTGACCTACAAAGTGACAGTGACTGAGCTGCGGCTGAGCCCAGAGGTGGGGGACGTCCACCCTGACAGTGTGCTGGGAAACCCCCTTTACAGCACTTTTAAATGTGGGTGAAACAGCAGCAGCCATGGGAAGGATTACACACCCAGACACAAAGAGAAAAGAAGAACCACTTCGCCCCCTCTCTCCTCAAGAACTTGTGTGTGTCCTCCACTTTAAACATCCTAATGAGCTTCTGTACAGCATCTCTGTGCAGACCGGCAGAGGAAAGTGTTTCAGATAAAAGACTGGAATACTAATTTCAAACATTCCCTGCTCAGGTAGGCCTGGTTCAAAGCAACACACACACAGGGATTATAGTAAATGTTGGGGCTTGAATATGAAGAGGCTTATGAAAACGCTGTATTCCTCTGGTGTGGGTGGTCTGCCTTAACACACAACACCAAACAGCCTCTATGTGACTGCCCGTGTGTGTGTGGTGTTGCTGTATCCGAGTGAATATTTGTTTGTATGAATGTTTATTTGCACATTTGTGAGCTTCGTTTGAGTGCATCCTGTTTGCATCAGTGTGCCAGTGTGAGCATGTTCCCAACCAACTGCCTTTATGTTTATGTTTCCTGTTTACTGAACACATATAAATGACCGTGTGTGTCTTTACCTTCAGCCTGGGTGGCCACTTTGAGCGCTGCAGAGCTCTCTCCCTGCCCGTTGCTGTTATGGGCCACAACCCTGAAGCGATATTTGGAGTCTGGCATGAGGTTCTGGATGGTGACCTGCATCTCCCCGGGGCGGCTGGTATTCACTACCCGCTCCCTGACACACACACACACACACACACACACACACACACACACACACACACACACACACACACACACACACACACACACACACACACACACACACACACACACACACACACACACACACACACACACACACACACACACACACACACACACACACACACACACACACACACACGAACATTTTAACTTGTGAATTCATACATTTAAGAGTGTAAAAAAACACATTTTAAGTTTACAAATGAATAGTGTTGGGTACTAAATGAATGATATAATCTTTGATTGTATTTAAAAGCAAATCCTTAGACTTGGTAAGCAGAAAACAGCTAATGTTTGATAAATGACTCATTGTTCTGGCCATTAACTAATCAATCAAGTAATTGAATAATGATGAGCATATTAGCACTCATCTGTCTCTACAGCAGAAACCATTTGTTTGTTTGAGGCAAATGGCACATGTGGTTAGTGTAAACATTATTTGTACCATCCATGTATCCGGATAGATACTTATATATGCATTTACATCTGTAACTGTAGCTCAGAGTAAACACTTCTTATGTATTAGGCAGAGTTCCCGTTAGCCGGTAATTACCGGACTACGACCGGTAAAATATGCTGAAGACCGGCAAATCTAAATCTCTCCGGTCAAAGTGTCCGTTCAAAATAATTTCCGTTTAGCGCAATACCACATCAGTTGCGCCACTTGCGCCATTTATGTGACAGACAAAAGAGTATGTGACAGACAAGAATAGTCAATTCTAATGTCTAACACATAATGTGGAGAAAGAGATGTCCTGTATGGGTTGATTGTGCGTTGATCTGTTGGTAATGCCTCAGGGTTCCGGTGGGCATGTAAACAAATGCATAATGCTGCGCTATACTTTGTGGCCTCACCCAGTTGCATAGCGACACTTATTGTGTAGGTGTCTGTTGATAAGCAGCTAGTCATATCATTAGCTAGAGATCTGATCGATATGGACATAAACGCGAGTGAAGTCTAATCTGACGGGAGAGAGAGATCAGCTGCTGCTGACGAGTCGACACGCAGCTCTGCATAATCACATGCAGCGGTGAGCGGAACAAAACACACACCAGGTTAGAATATCACACGTAGCTATTTTACCTCTCAAACTACCGTAACTAGTTATATGTTTAGTTTTACTGTCGGGTCACTCATTACTGATCCGCGAGCTGCATGATACTGACAGGCTGTCAGGAGAGGGAGAGCGCTCCGTTTATTATTCCCGTGTTGTTGTAAGTTACTGTTCACTTTTGAATAATGTAGTTAATCTACTATAATTAGTTTAATATTGAATCATATCAATTTGTTTTAAAGCTCAATAAATAACAAAGACCTTTGACCGGCATTTTTCTCATTTTGTCTGGAAGATTTAAACTTTAACGGACATGTTGACCGGCGAATACATATTCTAACGGGAACTCTGGTATTAGGCCACTTCTGAGAATGACTTACAGCCATTGCATAGGGAAAACATAAAACGTAGCCAAAATGCTGAAGAGTAATTGTGGAAAATCCTCTCAGCTTCTTTAATTTCCTCCTGAATCATACACAGTAAATCCTCTCCACAAGACGCTGGGGGAAATTATCACAGAGCTGCTTAAAAAGAGTGTTTGGACTGAATTGTTTTGTTTATACTTGAATGTAAAAAAAGGTAATCCTTTGAGGAAGGAAGTTTGTTTTTAATTAATTAACATTTACTGCTATGATAAGTGCTTTAATTAGGCATTTCCAGAGTGGTCTGAGTGCCCTGCCGACTGCAGCAGTAATGTGTGTATTAGTACCCTCCTGGCAGTACTACAGTTTAGTGTGTGTACTACCTGCTGGTGCCCTCCTGGCTGTAGAACACAGAGTAGGTTAACTCGTCTCCGTGAGGTTCGGCTGGCGGGCGCCAGGTCAGCTTGATGAAGCGAGTGGAGACCAGCGAAGCCACAACGTCTCGAGGGGCGGAGGGGGAGGGCCCCGCTGGACCGGCTACACCTCCGGAGCCTGGCGTTACATGGTCAGTAGTGTTAGGAGTCAGTGAAGGGGGGGGGAAAGAGGGCAGGGCTACATCTTTGGGTTTGGAGGAGGAGGGTAGAGGGAGGTTTGGGTGCAGCGAGACAGGGAGGGGCAGGAGAGAGTGGCAGTGTGGGAGTGGGTGAGAGAAAAGTCACGCAGAGGTGCCCGAAAAGGAACGGGTCGAGGAGAGGAAAGGGGTTGAAATGGAAATGACAGTGAAACGAAAGAAAGGAAGGAAACAAAAAAAGAAGAAAAAACAAAATAACAACAACGTAACAAAAACTGCCTTTTGGCGTGACAAGGAACCACAGAAATAAAACACTTCTACTACACTCACACAGCTGACAAATAAAGCACAATACAAGGGGGACTACACATGCAGATCTACACACAGCTCTCTAATGTAAGGGTAGTGTGAGCAGAACATAGCGTTAAACATTTAATTCTAAAAAGACGGCTTTTCCGCCAATCATTTGTGATTAAAAATGATTGGTTAGCAAGTTTTGGGTAGCATTTATAACTAAAAACTGGCATACACAGGTAGAGTTTGTATGAATGGGACAAAGACACCTTCCAAATGCACACAAGAAAACCATATGTTCAGGGAATTAAACATATTTTTTCAGACACAGTAAAACAACTCAAGTCTAACAATAAAGTTTATTCTGAAGTCTAAATTCTCTCAACTAACACCCCAGATGATATTTTTTATACACTTTTCCCGCCACATTCCACAGGCTAGCCACAGAAATGTTTGTGATTTCATTTGGTGGTTGTTTTATTTTGGAGGAACAATCTGCGGTCAGACTGAGCCAGATCTGCTTTCCATTTGCCTGGCAAGTGGGCGAAACGAAAGCATACGGAAAGAATGTCAGTCTGTATGACATTTCTATTTGTTGCGGGTCAAGGAAATTGACAGGAGGGCAAGGCTAAAATACAGAAAAGGAGCAGGAAAAGTGCAGTGTGCAAACGGTGTATTATTATTGGTGAAATTGTTTTGAAAAGCAAAGTGACCGCTGGCCTATTTGTCTGTCGTTGCAAGTGAGCTAACCACTAACCCAGCTCTCAATATTTGTTTACATTTCAAATTCCCAGATCACTGACTTCTGTGATTGGAGTGATATGAAGCAATTGCTGCTATTTTGGTCCACGTACACTTTTTCCCTTGCCATTGCGCACACACTGATCAATAACGCAAACCTCTGAAGGAGTGTTACTTTTATATTAATGTTACAGTGTTCGTTTCTATATAAGTTTACGTGTGTGTGTGTGTGTTTTCAAGTGCAGTCTTTGGCAAATGACACCTTTTGAGTTGTGTTGGCTCTGTACTTCAGCACCTTGCATTTGAAATCAAACAATGATTTATGAGGTAAAGGTGCTGACTATAATATTTCATTTCAGATTATTTGACACAAACCTAAAACAAAATCAATTCCTCTTTTATGACGTTTGGTTGCAAAGTCGATGTTTGGCAGAGGCTACAGCAGATATGAGCAGACACTCAATATCTCCAGGCCGCCTTCAGTCAGGTTTTGGCAAGCAGGAATCAGATGGATTGATTCAGGTGACTGATGGCCAGTCGAGATTATTCCACAGGTTGGCAAACACTTTTAATGCCTTGTCTATATTTTTTGTAGGAAAAGGTTGGGCGATTAATGTTCATAAAGGGATAGGACTAGTTACCCAACAACCTAAAACAACCTTAAAGCTGGACGTCAACACTCAACCTCAAAGCTACTGATTCATAACAAATCCAATTAGCTGGAATTGAGCCAAAAACTGAGGAAAACATATAATTGCCCTAATACTCTTTGACTGCCGTGTAAATTACCAGATGCTGAACCATTATCCTCATTCAACAAACACACACACACACACACACACACACACACACACACACACACACACACACACACACACACACACACACACACACAACACACACACACACACACACACACACACACACACACACACACACACACACACACACACACACACACACACACACACACACACACACACACACACACACACACACACAGGATTACACAGCAGATACTGTCACAAATTACTATTGGAGACTAATTTCCAGACAAAATAAACACATAAAACACGTTAAAACACTATCAAAACAAACAAATGAAACGCTAAATGTAATGTTGGGAATGGTCTACACAGAAAGGAAATAAGGGTGAAAGATCAAGAAAATAAATACAGTATCAAAAATGCAGTCAAAATATTTGACTGCATTTGCTGCTAAACTGAGGAATAGCAGACCAAAACACAGACGTTGAAATGACCGACCGACTGACTTTCTTACCGACTTAATAACACAATAAAGGCATGTGATATTATAGTTTGTAGTTGCAGCTGCAGAATAATGCATTTAGACCTCCATGTAAAACATTTATCTTGGTGGTCAGTAAAAAGACGAGATAAAACACACAGGAAATCAGCTTGGCAACTCTAAAGTTAAGGTTCCTTGAAATTGCTACTATACAATACTATACAAGAAGGACGGGATCCCATGTGTGCAAATGGAGTTTATTTTAGTTTAGCGTATTCTGGAGTAGAGCCACCGCTTGTTGACTGAGACAAAGGAATGAAGGCATGACAGAAGTGGAGCCAAGCTTTCAGACATGTATGTGCAGACACATTTAGAAAGAAAACCTCCACTTTGGCTTTGTTCCGAAAGGCGTACAGAACTGTAATACAGGAGGCATTTTAGAGAAACACAAATATAAAGTGGGGCTGTGGAAGAAAAAGGTTTCACAGTTGGGTAAAGCAATAAGGAATACAGCAGTTCAGTTAAAAATGGTCCTGAAATCAGTGAAGATGTAGAAATATAGTATAGCCTGATGAGAAATGCATTGTGGGATAGGCAAAGGGTCATTAGATGTAGTTTCTATCTTTATACACCTTGTCAGCTGTAGGTAATTGACATGCGGGGCAGTTTTCGGTGTCCTTCTGACAATCTGTCTTGTACTTGCATGCCTAAAACTGTTACTGTAAGAAGGCGTCAGCCTCCCACTGCCTCTGCCAAGCTCTTTTCATAGCTGATTAATAGTGCCATTAGTCTCTGTGCCAGAGGTAATGAATGGCTGGCATTAAGGCTTAACGAGGAAGGTTACTCTAGATCTGCATAATAAATCTGGGAAACCAATACGCAAAACAGTCAAGACAAAGACATGCATAGCAAAGCATTCGTCTTAATATTCACCGGAAGCAAGAGCAAATTAAAATAATTAGAGTAGCACTAAAGTTCTGATTAAAGCCTCATAACTTTTATCTTGCTAACTCCAGCAATCCTCCCCAGAGTTTAGCTGTAAAGTTACGCCAAGCAGTTTTTTTATCATCTGGTCTGAGTGTAAAGATAAGAGAGCCTACCTCAGTGGCTGAGACTATACACCTCCACCAAGAGAGCAGAAATCTATTGAATGCAGATATCTGCCAGAAGCACCCACAACGCTGTAACTACAGATATCCTTTTTCAGAGGGAATTCAGCAGGCCATGCCAGGCTCTTGCTAAATGGATTTCCTCAGAACTAGTTTCCATGCCTAATGTGGTTCAGTAATGATGACTGGATAGGAGACAGATCCTGCACAATGCTAATGGTCCATTACTGAGTCACCACTTGTATCTGCCTTAGAAAATAATAAAGGAAGAATGAACAATGTACTGCAAAAGCCTGGACAGAGCCCTCAGAAAACCAACAAAAAAGCTGGCTGTCGATTAAGTCTCTTTCTGCTTCATCCGAACGTGCCACGGTCGCACGAGGAGAACATGTGGGGAGCATATCTCTGGGCTTGCGGTTGAAATACATCAAAGGTGATTTCTTCTGAAGAAACACGAAACAGCATAGAGACATTCTTTGTTTAAATGTATAGGTAATGTAAGCATTGCCACTTCTCACGTAAATGTGGTGGAAATCGGCTGCCTTCTCAGAACGACTGCTGACAACCATAGATGCACTCCCTCTACAATCTTGTTATTCTCGCTCTCTTCCTAGATAAGAATGGAAAGATGAGCAAGCCTGACAGCTCATGACATTTGAGCGGCTTCTTAACGCGCCGACAAAAGAAACTGATTCAGAAAAAGAAGACAAATGTTTCAAGTGGAGACAGAGAGATGTGAAGAGAGAGATGGTGGAGGTTGTTTTTGTTACTCTTGAGTTTCTTGTCGGAAAACAATAATAAGCTACATTTTGGCCACCATTTTCAACACTTACAAAGTACTTAACAAACAATACTACAATCAATAAAAAAAACCTTTATAGAAACAATAAAAAGCAATACATTAATCCACAAGGGGAGATAATAACACCCTGCTAATTTCACCATAGCAGGTGAGAGATTTGACTTTTGGACCCTTACATCACCTTATCGCTGGAGGGGGCTGAGATAGAGTATCAGATAGGAGGAGCATATCAGTTACTGCTGCACACGCTCTCTCGCTAAGATAATCAGAGACAGTCGGGATTAAAGTCCAACACGAACCTCACAAAGGCTAAAAGCAACAATGAAAGAAAAAGAAAATATTTGAGTCACAGACTGTTTCTCCAAAGAAGTGAAACAGGATCCCTCCACATTCCTCCGTATCACTTTCTAGGGCACATTCACCATCATCGAAAACATGTTTGAAATCTGTAATGTTCCCCGGGCGAGAAATAAGCTTTTATTAATTAAAAGAAATACATGGCAATCCCAAAAATGAATGTTCTCCTCATTAGGTCTTGAGTGGTTGAAATATTTTTCTGGAACAACTTATCTGTGATGAAGATGCTGGTGGTGGGGCCAGAGGGGACACATCAAAGTCAGACAAATTAGGAGAAATTACTTTGATGGATCGGCACTGGTAAGGTCATGTACAGAATATTGAAAAATGGGACATTAAGCTTTTGATGTTACCGCCAGTTAATGCTGCTGCAAAAGTGTGGAAATCAACATTCTGATTATAAAAAAAGACTATCTCAGCTTCTCTGCCTGAGCACACGCCATGAACGCGGTTATAAAAGGTTTGGAGTGGGTCACAGATGTCTTTACGTCTCCAC